TAGTGATGGGCATAATCGACCAATTTTGATAATCGAGTTATCGGTAATCGAGTACTTCTAATAATCGAGTGATCACTCGAGATACGAGATATTGGTCGTTTTCATCCCAGCGGCGCACAAATATGTTTGTATTAGTCATATATTACTTATAAGCGTAGCTAAAAAAAAAAAGCTCACGCACTTCAAAACCTAACCACTTTTTCGTTTTATTCTAAAAAAAAGGTTACGCAATCAGTGACTATTTGCAGTATGCACTAACATTTTGGGGTACAACCGTAGGGTAATAATCACTCGAGTGGTGGGAGTAAACATCTCGAGATATCTCGAGTGATCTCAATAATCGAGTACCACTCGATTTTTCACTCGAAATCTCCCATCACTAGTCACTAGATGACTGTAGTAGCTTACAGAGCCAGTATAATATACTGGCTCTGGTGGCTTACTTTCCTGCCTGTATTAGATTTGGAATAAATAATCCAGAAGATTATTTAAATAATATCTTAAGCTGACATTTTGCTCTAGCAACTGTCCATTCTATTGGCCATTAACGATTGCTCATTCATTTTTCACGAAATCGAATTTCCCTATGATAAAACCAAAGTGTTTACAAAAGTAAATGCCAAACCAATGACAACTTATGCTTCTTACGTTGTAAGTGATGAAGAACTGCATAGATCAGCTTCCATAGCCGTTGGTACTTAGCTTTTAGAAATATTTTTAACAGTGTACATAATTTTGCACAAAGTACTGGTATAAGCAATAATTTTGGATGCTGTGGTGTGGATATTCAGTTTTCAGTTCTGAAGTCACGAGAATCTTGTAATATGCGTTTTGCCTATCTTATAAGCTTAGTAAGCTGGTCCTAATGAAAATGAGAAATAATATAATCATTCACAATATACGTACTGGAATCATAACAGCACACCATGTATTATAAAATGTTTTTGTTGTAATAAAAGTTTATAAAGTGTGCTGCAGTTTGAATTCATTCACACACACAACCTATTAAAATTCAGAAAAACTAAATTCACCCTTTAAATACTTCCCTGGCTTCTTTAAATTTTAAGTGGTATTATCTGTATCATAAAATTAACTCTTAAATTGAGTTTGCTTCATTAAATTTTAGTTTATTGTGAAGTCGACTCAAAATAAAAATGTGTATTATTAAAATAGACTGATTCCAATTATTTTTATTTTCAAATTGACGATACCTTCAGTTACCGTCTTACTAAATTTAATAACCATCATACCCTCTGGCGGTGACAAGTGATACTAGCGAAACAAGGTAAACATTTCTTATGTTACACATTTCGTTTTGTATTTTATTTAAAACTGTGTTTAGTGTTTGTTTTTTGGACACCGTTATTTTAAGAAAATATTGTGAGGAAAACTTCAGCAGTTATGGATAAAAAAAAATTGTCGAACTATTAGGCCGGTGTCCCATGCATTCGAATTCCGACGATACGAAGGTCCGAAAGTATTCCTATTGGTTAATATACATTCAAATTTTTACCGCTCATTTTCATCCGAAATTTTTTAAATTCATGCGACGTCGGAAAAAGTAGAAATAATTTTAACTTTTATCCGAAATCGTATGTTTTTTAACCTCACTTTTTAATTTCTTAACATGCTATGATTGTTGTTGGTATATTTACAGTCAAATAAATGTTATATTATAATGTCGAATGTAGAAAATATAATACTATGTATATTTTCTATAATATATACCTATGGTAGTTATTTGAAAATGTTTCACCTTCATCATGTAATAAATTCCATGGTTCTATACTTGATTTCTATGAGATTAATTTCGGATGCATGTGAATTATAATATTATCATTCGTACGAATTAAAATATTTTCGGGTATCGTACATCGGATTTCGGATGCATGGGACACCGGCCTTATTGTTCAGTTCATGGTTGTTCTTTATGATCCAAGAAAAATCCAGAATTAAGTTTTCATCAAACCATTGAAGAAATTTTCAAAATATTATTGTCGATAGACAATACTCCCTGGTTGTTAGTATGGGCACTAGTTTGCAGGCACAATGAATAAATTTCTAAATTTAAATCACTGCCCAGTTTTCCCACATAGTACCACATGACCAGCGTTAAAAACTGCCTCTCCTGATATACGAGAGTTTTTGTTAGCATTTAAATAGGAAATGTAGGTATTCCACAACGGATAACTTCATAGTTATAACCTCAAAAAATGTACATTAAATTGACATGCTAGATATAAATACTTACATTAAAATTTATTTTTGAAATATTTGAAATCTATAAAATAACACAAAAGTCAAATAACCTCAGTTTAATAACAAAATTACTAATAATAATGGGAAATAAAACGAATGTTGTTCAAATTAATGTGTAATCTGTCGTATATACAATAATAAAAAAATATTTCAAACAACGATCTTTAGCAAACTCCTACGATTTTAAATTGAAAAAGTGAGGTTATGTTCAATTTCGTTTTCCGTCACTTTAACTTAGCTGCTTCACGTTACGTACGTCTACGTCTTGAAGGATGCTTTTTTAAGACGGCCTTTTAATTCTATAACGTTGCATGATTTTTACATACTGGAAATTATTTAAAAATACATCAAAGATGTTTTAGTGAATTTGCACCACCTTTAAAATATCTGGCTACTGGATCAGTTTCCATTCTACTTAAAGAAAAATAATTAAAACGAAGAGATACGTGAAAGACTTAAGTGAGACTTTGGAAGACAGTGTGCCTACAAAACAAATAATTATACGTAATATACTTTAAACGAGGTGTAACTTTAACTGGGTGTGGATCAGTTTTTTTGGGGTATTACTAATCTGAGATTATTTTTTAAAAAATGAAATAAATAAATAGTTACAATTCGTTTTTTAAGCTACATTTAAGCTCTTGTCTACGCCGTCACTGGACAGCACCGAACTCGGTTGCATGTGCACACTTATCAGAAAAATTGTAATGGAAAATAATTCCATAAAAACATTACTTTTGTATGATTCTGTAACATTATTTTAAAGTTATCACACTTTCTTAATGTCAATAAGAACGAAACACTGAAAACTGACAATTTAAAAAAATTAATATTTTCGTATGATTTATTAAACATTATTAGTAGGGGAACTGGCATACTCTAGTAATTGTAAATAAACTAATTTATATTTTAAGATAGTTATTTTTGCTGGTTTATAAAATAAATAGTTTTAAAAGTATTCGTTACTATTTTTTAAAGCACTGTGTTTAGTTTGCGAACCTCCGGCATTGATCTAGGTTAATTTTACATTCCGCATATTTTTTGTCGTCGTGTAATACGTTTGTTTTTTCGATAGTTAATGTAATAATAAAAGGAATAAATACTAACAAAACGTCAAGAAAATTAATTATTTTCACTATTTAGATATGTCAGACGATACAAAAAATTATACACCACCATTACACTGGCCGTGTTAATTCAAGTTTTTATGCGATTTTGTTCGGAATTAATATGCCATTATTTATCGAATGATACTATAAACCATTTTCAGCAATGCTTGGAGGGAAAATAACTTCAAAATTTGTCGTTATCTGGATAGAGATTATTAGTATCTCTTTTGCGCTATGATTTCAGATCAAGAGCAAATAATAGCCAATCGTCTTGTTTTCAAATGATGACCTTCTACAGGGTGTATCTTTAAGTGGTGGTCAATTCTTTTTTTTTTAATCAAATAAATAGTCGATTTCTAATAAATTTTTTGAAATGCACTTTAATAGTACTTGTGTACACCACCACTGTAATATTCATGTATTACAAATACATGAATTGTAGGCAACCTACAGTGCATGTGAAGGGAGATAGCGGGTCAACGGTGACGAAGCCAAGGAGGTCTATTGTTCCGCATTTGGGGATAATACATCTAACAGTGAATTTGAATGTTTTTCATCACTGGAAGCCATTAGCAGACTATTTATTTTTGTTTATTTCATTTATCATTATTGATAGAAGAATCAAGAGTTTATCTTTAATAATAAGGGAGATATATCCAAATAAATGTTATATTAATACATTACAAAAAAGCTTTCTGTCGATATCTGTCAAAAATAAAGTTTGCTGCTACTTCTGAAAACTGTCTCTACTGATTTCGCCTGATCTCATCTTTACCGCAACTTTCCATGAAAATCAACCGATTTTCAACAATGCCTTTGCTCTTAAGTCAATAAAACGGGTTTGTGCTGTTAGAGAAAGCATTTGAATAGAAATTTGAAATCAAATTCGACCGGATTCGAATTCAGCGAAGTGAAGTGGCAGTAGTTCATTTGCATCTCTATAACTATGGTCGTTACGGAGACGATTCCGGAGTTCATTCACGATTCTGTAACTATATTAGTTACAGATTAATCGTAACTTAAAGAATTATAAATTTAGAGAAACAAAGAAATTATCTAATAAGTAATTTCTGATAAAGAAAGGAAACAGTCGACAGTATCATTAATTTAATGGATACTCGGCAGATGGTGATTTCAAAAATAGTTAAAACGTTAATAGATGCTTATTCTCACTAGATGGCGAGCAAATTTGATAGGTAACCACTAAATCTACTCAGGAGATTGAAAAAATTTGTACTCTGGGAAATGTATGGAGAGGTAAGTTAAAAAAAATCTCTTCTACTTCTTATAATTTATGAAATCTAAAAAACGAATTACAAACTAAATTACCCTACAAAAAATTATCAGATGTATTCAACCCCAACACAAAAACGACTTGCATATTTTAATACTTTGATTTTCCGTCGTTTCCTGTTTTATAGCAAATAGGAAACCAGCAATACATTTTTATAGATTTTATTACACAGTTTGTCTAAATATGAATTAATGCTCAAATAACAGACTTTCCCCCTTTTTAACGCAGATTTTCTATAAAATGCACTTAGTTTGAAACTCGAATAACTTTTTGTTGTAAAGAAATTTGTAATTCACCGCTTTTGAATAAGCGCCATCGTATTTTACAAATTTCTCTACAACAAAAAGCAATTTGAGGTTTAAAATACGTCCATTTTATAGAAAATCTGCGTTAAAAAGAGGGAAAGTCTGTTATTTGAACATTAATTCATATTTTAACAAACTGTGTAATAAAATCCATAAAAATGTATTGCTGGTTGCCTATTTGCTATAGAACACATAAAATTAAAAATAAGTTGTGAAGTAACCTAAAAATATTTAAAAATATGAGTATTTTCATTTTTCTGAATACAAAATAACTGAAGTGAAAATCTCTTGCAAGACCAAAAAAAATATATGTTATTTTGTAGTAAAATAATGGCCTCACTAAATTTGTGAATGTGTATATACAAAGACAAATGCATCTGAAAAAGAGAACATTGAAGAAAAAGTGTGTTGTCAATAAAATTTAAAAACGAGGATAAAAATTATTTAAATTTTAGGCGGAGAGGGTTTGTCCAAGTTCTTGTTTTGGACAGGTTGCAGTCGCTTTTTATTACCAATAACATTTAAACCTAAAAAAAAATATCAGTCAATTTTGCTTACAAAATTTATCGAAAAATATTAACATAGTTTTTCATACGAAAATCACAACTTAAAATGCCTTATCAGGTGCTCTATGAGAAAACAAAAACCCAAACCATTCATACCATACAAAAACCAGTCAAAGAAATTTATAAAACCACCTTTCAGTTAAACTTGTAATAGAAATACAAAATAAATAATACTGTAAAATATTGTATAAGATAGGATGCAGAACCTCGGTCTTCGACCTTTTGGAATGGGCATAATGTACATTGTGCTTAGTACGAATAAAGAACTGTTTTTTTACCGTTACTACGAAAATCAGAAGCGGGATACATTTAAGGAGTTATCCCACTTCTGATTCTAATTTTATTGCCATTTATCAGTACTCACCATGAACTCTTCGTTTGTGCTTGGTGAGCAAATGGCCCACGAGGAAACTGTCGCTACACAGGTCACATCGGATCCGTTCCTTAGTGTGCTTCCGAATATGAGTTTTAAGATCGTTACTTTGAGCAAACGCGGCCTCGCAGTATGTGCACTGATACGGTTTTTCTCCAGTATGGATCCTCATGTGTACCATTAAATTGTAGGCCCTAAGAAACGTCAAATATAATAATTTTAAGTGTCTTTGGAGGCGAAACGGAATGTACCTTCCAAACCCTTTACTGCAAACCGTACATAAGTGTCTCTTTTCCCCAGTGTGGCCTATCTCGTGCATAGACACATCCGTTGTTGTTGTAAAGCCTGTTATATAAAATAAATATTTGCCTGATGGTGTCTCTATACTATTTGCTTACCTTTGTCGCAGTATTTACACTTAAATGGCTTTTCTCCCCGATGTCGGCGCATGTGGTTTTCCAGATAGTCGTTCCTGATGAACCGCTGGCCGCATTCTGAGCAGAGGAACTTCTTGAGTCTTTCGTTGTGGGATCTCATATGATGCACAAGGCGGACTTTGGTGGGGTAAGTTCTTTGGCACACATTGCATTGGTAATCCCTGTGTTGGTTATGCCCGTTAACATGAATATCTCGGTATTTCTCACTCTTAAAACTCTTAAGGCACAAGGAACATTCATACCTTTGCTCATCTATGATCTGAAATAAAGTTCATGTAAAATTTGGATTCTTTAATTGTCAGAAGTGGGATTTTTTGTATTAATTACAAACCTTTCCTTCGGTGTCATGTCTTGCAGCCTTATGCAATAACAGATATCCTGCTCGGCTAAATGTCCTCTTGCATATGTCACATTCAAAACCACTGTCCTTATTATGCAACTTTATATGGTTGACCAAGTGATCCTTTCGATTAAAGCCCTTTGTACACACATCGCAGCGGAAAGGTTTAAGAGTGGAATGAGAAGCGACGTGCGTCTTTAAAATATTAGCCTTGCTAAATTCCTTATTGCATATGTTGCATTTATGAACTTCCTCTTTTGAAGGCGGATTTTTGCGGGGTCTACCACGACCACGTTTGATTTTCGATAGACTCTTTTTGGGGAGATATTCTGAATCCGTACAGTCTTCAGGATATCCCCCAGCTGTAATAAAAGTTGATTAATGCACAAAAAATACATTTCTGCAACTAATAACATGTCTTAAGGTACTTTTTAAAGAAGTTTAGGTCTATCCCTTGTAAAAGAGAATGAAACTGATATGAAGTCGTTGTTAAATAACTGAAATATTTAATTTTAAGCAACACTTATGCCCTTTTATTAAATATTCTTGTTTAAATCTCTGTAAAAATATTACTCATCTAAAAAGTTTTTTTTTAGTTTTTTCCATTTTTTTAAGTAAAAGTGAAGAAAATAAAAAGTACATTTTATAAAAACAATATTTCTCTATTTTCTAAGAAATATTCTAGAATTATGTCCAACAAAAATGAAACTGCTTCTATTTCAAAAATTAAGATTTCCGACGAGAATATTTTCAAATATTCCATCCTTTAAAATGGCGAATTTTGCGACAGTGAATACTTGCCTTTAATGAAGATTAAACTCAATGATCGACATTAATAATAATTACTACAGAAAATATTATATGCATCTCATTTGTAATGCATAAGAGCAGAAACCTTATTAGAAGATAAACTTAATAAACATACTCTTCTCTTGCACTAAATTTTTAATGTTTTCAATATTTCCTCAGCCAATTTAATCAAATATTATAAAGACAATCTATGTACGTATATATTAAAATTAACTTTTTAACTTACCATCACATCTTATATCAGCTGGGTTATCTCCATGCTCTAGAATATTATCCTCAATTTCCAATTTATCCTCTATCTTCACGTCTACATAATCAACTTCATTTTTTACACTTCCTTCACCCTCTACAATATTATCCTCCATGTCAGAAGTATCCTCTTTCTTCACCTCCATTGTGTAATCTACTTCCTCTTTTTCTACACCTTCTGTATCTTGTAGATTATCCTCCATTTTTGAGGCATCCTCTACTTTCACCACACTCGTGTAACCCACTTCATCAATTTTTACACTCTCTCCATCCCCCGAAATATTATTGCTTTCCCACGTATCCTCAACCCTCATGTTTTTCTTGTGACCACCTTCTTCATTTTTCAAACACTCCACTACTTTTTCCATATTATCGTCATTCGACCCTATATCTATTACCTTCTTATTTCTATCCTCATCCATGCTTTCCGTCACCTCCACTTTGGGTTCAAAAGAGTCATCCACATCAGAGTACTCGGAAAGTACAGCGCCAACATTTTGATCAACCTGGTGGTAGTGTTCTTCTACATTCCCGTGATCTTCGATTGTAGGCAGCTTGGGTTGGTTGCCCTGCATCTTTTTATGCACCTCAAAAGTATCTTATCGATTTAATGTTTCCTTGCAAATATCACAAGGGTATACGACGTCACCTGTATATATAAACAACTGTCAAAAATGGAAATAAACGTTTGCATAACAAAAACGTACTTTTACACCTAGGTGTATGTCTGTGCAAGCTTTCCGTTCTGTTAGAAGCCTCGTTGCAAGACTTACAAGCAAAGGGTTTCTCCTTCAAATGGGTCACCAGGTGTCTTTTGAGGTATTCCATTCTAACCAGCGTCTTGCTGCAGATCTTGCAAACGTGCAGTTTTCTCCGAGGGTGTTATTTTTCATGTCTTTGCAAGTGATTTCGTCTCGTATATAGTTTGTCACAGTTACTGCATTCATATAAGTTGCCAGTGTCGACGCGTTCGTGCCACTGCAACTCTTTTATCGTAGTGAAAATTTTGGAACATTCATGACAGATCAGTAACAATTGGTCGTTCCATAATTGGTTATAGTCAATTTCAATTTTTGGGATCACGGGAAAGTCAGATTAATGGTTCCTGGTTATTTCCTTTAGCTTGTTTATTGAAATGATTTTTACAGTTTCCAATTCCATTTTGAATTTTTGGAAGGACTTGTTTACAAAATTACATTATATTCTTGTCACCACCCAAGATAACTTACAATTAGTCCACAAAACTGGTGAAATGAGAAGTGACACAATCACCGAATTTTATTAAGCTGCGGTTTAATTGTTTGCTTTGGTTAGCCCAAAAATTATTCAAAAAATTAGAATCTTTGTAAAACCATTAATGATTTAACTCAACGATTCTTCTTCTTCATGCATGTATAAATAAAATAATTGACACTTGTCACTGTCAGAAGAGGACACAAAAATTTTACCATAGAATATCAAAAAAGAGAGGATCGTAGATAATTTAACACAGAGATGGGATTAAATAATTTTTTGTATTAACGCTTTAACAAAATGCGCATGTGTCGGACAGTTCTTGGTGATTTCTAATCTAACTGTTGTGCGAACAAACATATTGGCTTTATAAGTTATCCTACGAAAACAGTAAATATTACCTAGATAATTGCAAAAATATAAAATAGTGCTTAAATTTTTGTAACAAAAACAGATAGATATAAAAAGAAGCAGTTTTATAAGGTATGCATCAGATAAGTCAGAGTAAGAGCTGGCGCTTGCCCAAGGATTTTAAAATCCTTGGCGCTTACCCACAATTTTTGACGTTTGTAGGTCATTAGGTTCAGGGGACACTGCGATCGCCGCCCTCAGATCTAATAAATTACGAATTTATATCATTATTATTTATTACATTTACCACTTTTATTACCCTTTTGTAACAGTTTAACTAACAATTTGCCTCTTTTTAAGGCATGATATCTTAGATCTGACTATGTTGCTCTTGCAGACCCCTGGCCGCGGATGGCCAAACTTCCATAAAACTGTTTAATGAAAGTTAGATGAAACATCTGGTCCTCTACACCCAAAGATATTAATACATAATCTCCTTGACTGGTGTTAAAGCTTAGTACAAAGAATAGTTTTTAAAGCCGTGCCAACGCCCTCTAGGGTTTGATGGACCAATAGAAATTCGATGTAAACATTTTAAGGATATTACTTAGAACACGGCGTTTCAGTGGCCGAGAGTGTAACGGAGGTTTAGAGAGAGAGATAGAGTGATAGGTATAGGAGGGTATTTGCTATATCTCTGTAGCAGCACGCGATTGTATGTTGCTAGAGAGAGATACATATCGCTCTCTCTCTCTCTCTTTAAACCTTCGCTACACTCTGGGCCACTAGGACGCTGCCTCCAGTGGTATAAATGCTCTAAGGGTTGTTAGTGTATTATTATTTTGTGGATGTTACGTTGGTAACGTAAGTCAACTGTCAAAAGTGTCAAAGTAAAATGGCAACCTTGTACAAAAGAAAAGGTCGGTGATCTGTCACTTTGTCAATGTTATTTTGGTAACTTATCACAATAAGCAAATAAAAGAAAAAGATAATGAGCTATACAGAAAAACATGAAATTATAACAAAGGAGGACTGGGTGAAATTATTGGAGGAAAACGACCTGGGACGTAGCAATATGAACAAGCTGATCATGAATTATTTGGTTACAGGTGAATTTTAAAAGTTTAAACAAATATAGTATTATTTTATTATAAAATAATGCCGCCTTTTTTAACTTTTAGAGGGTTTTAAAGAAGCAGCCGAAAAATTCCAACAAGAATCAGGGGTTATCCCTTCTGTAGAGTTAAATTCTTTAGACGATAGGATTCGTATTCGAGATGCTATTATGACGGGGAGGATACAAGAGGCTACAGCCCTTATCAATCAGTTACACCCGGAATTACTAGATAATGACAGATATTTATACTTTCACCTACAGGTAGAGAAATTTTTATGAGAAAATCTAGAATAACCTAGAAACTTGTGCGGAGAAAAAGCTTGTCATTGTTAAAATATATTTAAACATAATTTTTGATATTGTTTTGTAGCAACTACACTTAATTGAATTGATCAGGAACAATAGGATAGAAGAAGCTTTAGCGTTCGCCCAAAGTCATTTAAGTGAGGCGGGTGAAGAAGATCCTTCGGTTCTATCAGAGTTAGAAAGGACTGTGGCCCTTTTAGCTTTTGAAGACCCTTTGAATAGTCCTTTCGGTGATCTCCTTGCCCCTTCACATCGACAAAAGGTTAGTTAAGTGCCAATTACGTCATAAATCTAACAAAAACAACCTCGATCTTTTGTAATTTAGGTGGCCAGTGAGGTCAACGCCGCCATCTTAAAAATGGAGCACCAGGAAACGACGGTACCGAAAATCTCCACGGTATTGAAGCTAATACTGTGGGCGCAAGAGAAACTCAACAAGAAAAACGTAAAATATCCGAAAATGACTGATCTCGCGACCGCCACGATAGACGACCCCAAATAATGTTATTTATTTCTAGTTGTTTTTTTGTACTTTTTTGTTAATTTAATTCATTAGGTTTATAACATTGTACAATACCTGATATTTTTAAAGTAACCTTCGGTTAGTTTATATAACTATCACATTTTGTGGAAAATAGACTATTTATACATTTTAAAACTCAAGTTAGTGTATAGACATTTTTTCAGGAATCGTTTTTATCAAAATTAATAAAGTAGGGTGTTGCCCAGTCGTTATTTCTTTAGCCGGTCTTCAGATTTCAACCATACGTACAGGGTGTTCAATCAAAGTTCATCCAGTCACAAATTGCAAAAATCGGGTTTTCGAACGAATATGGACATTATTAACCAAACTTTAAAGTTAGGGTCCATCTATTTCGTTCAGATGAAACGTCTGGTACTTTAATTGTGCCCCTCGCTATTTCCAATTTATGATGAGTGGTCTATTGTTTTTAATTAGTCCCTACCAGTAGTCACAAATCAAATCATCTACAAATCTTGCTTCAGAAGCAAACTAATCACAGGCGTTTTATAATCGTTTCAAAGAAAATACCCAAAAGCAAAGGAAATCCTTTACATTTCTCCCTAGAGGAGGACAGAATATTTATAAATGAAATGGAAGATAAGACACAGATGTGTCTTATCCAGTTTCTACGAACTAACAAATTTTGTCTTGCTTGCCATAACAAAAATGTTTTTGACACTTCAAAAACTAATGTAAACACTATCGCGATGATAATACTAAAATCGGATTTCAGTATTCAGAACCACTTAGGGCCACATTGAAACAGAGAGCGCATTGTCCATAACGCTAATGACTAGACTGCAGTAGCGCAACGGTGTAAGGGTTGAAAATACTACAACTTAATAATTTTTTTCTCAGAAACTAAGGATTTTACAAACAATTTTTTTCGATATAGACTTCATTTGTCATGACGCGTCTATTCTCAAACTTTTTTTGGTAAGTTGTATCACTCTGTATATGGGTAAATTTTGGGTGTCTGGTGAAGAATGAAGAACCCGTTGAAAGAGCTTTGCGGATGTGTATTGGAAAAAGCAGAAGAGGATAAAACAAGGAACGGGATCTACATAGAAAGGTGTAAAAACTAAATAGTAATAAAAGAACGGAAATATTAATTTTCGGGAGTAAATACAAGTTATTTATTTGTTTTCTCTCATTCTTTACTCAGACACAATAAAATCAGGTCTTCCTCGTGTAATAACGTGTTGACTATATCATTTTTTAGACCAAATTTCATTGATAAGTTGAAACGTTTAGTCGTATCCTCTAAACGCAATCACTAAATGAAGTCGATGGACCATAGCTTCAATTTTTCATTTATTTTGACAGAATTTTAGTTTTCGTAAGGAAAAAAGTCAATATCAAAAAAAGCGTAACAATTGAACAATAGTTATATTATCTGGAAAATTTTTCAAAGGGAATTTCTGATCAAAATTTAATATACACTGTCATAAAAAAATTTCAACGTAAATTGATGTTTTTTTATTTGATTATCGAGTTGTAAAATTAGAACAAGTCATCAAGCCAAAGAGTGACCGCAAAATCCGCCTGTTTTTGAGACTTTCACAGAGGCGACAGGAAAAATCCTAAAAATATCCAAAAACTCGTCATGAATAATGAAAATGAGCATCACTTTCAGTTTTTCGAAAACCTTTATTTAGGGGTTGAAAAAACAAAAAAGTGAACAAACTAAGAATCATCAACAGTTGTAAAACCCCAAGTATTTCTATGTTATCAAAATAATATTATGAATGTGAAAATATCTAATTTCGTATTTGATACGGTCTTGTCCGGATTGAAAATCAACCCTTAAAATCCCCAATGGGGTGAAATCATCCCCTAAACGCCTAAAAATGCAAAAAATATATTAAAATAATTTTTTTTCTTTGTCTTTTATACGTGCTAATTGAACCGTTAATAACCCACAATCACTAGATCCGAAAGAAAATAACCCTAAATGAGGGTAAAACCACCCCTAAGTTCAACCATCGGCTTCAAAGTACATAAAATAATTATAATGCATAAAAAAAATTATGTTTCAAAATACATTCATTAGAATAATTTATACATAAGTACTCCCATACATTATCAATCATTTTCAAAAGTAATCATCCTTCTTAAGGGGTAAAATCATCCCCCAAATATACAAAAATTGTAAATGTGAAAAAAAAAATTTTTTTTCTATTTTTTCACATTACAATTTTTGGACATTTGGGGGATGATTTTACCCATTTTAAGGGGTGTTATTTATGAAAACGATTGATAATATATAGGAGTAGCTGTGTATAAATTAGTCCAACTTATGTACTTCAAAACGTGACTTTTTCTGTGCATAATTATTAAATTGTTTTCCTTGTAACGGGTAATTGTATTTAGGGGTGGTTTACCCTACTTTGGGGGTGTTTTCCATCTGATGTGACAATTAGAAGTTATTTACTTGTCAAACATCAAGTATAAAATAATTTTTTTTGTATATTTGGGGGGTGATTTTACCCCTTGAGAGGGATGATTATTTTTGAAAATGATTGATAATGTATGGGAGTACTTGTGTATAAATTATTCTATTGAATGTATTTTGAAATATTATTTTTTTCGTGCATTATAATTTTATGTACTTTTGAAGCCAATGGATGAACTTAGGGGTGGTTTTACCCTCATTTAGGGTTATTTTCCTTCGGATCTAGTGATTCTGGGTTATTAACGGTTCCATTATCACGTATAAAAGAAAAATAAAAAAAATTGTAACTAAATATATTTGTTGCATTTTTAGGCATTTAGGGGATGCTTTCACCCCTTCAGGGGTTGATTTTCAAACCGGACAAGACCGTATCAAATACAAAATTAGATATTTTCATGATCATAATATTATTTTGATAACGACAGAAATATTTGGGGTTTTACAACTGTTGACGATTCTTAATTTGTTCACTTTTTTTGTCCTTTCAACCCCTAAATAAGGGTGATTTCCGAAAAACTGAAAGTGGTGCTCATTTTCATTTTTCATGACGAGTATTTGGATATTTTTAGAATATTTTTAGAATTTTCCCTGTCGCCTCTATCAAAGTCTCAAAAACAGGCAGAAAAATGGATTTTTTTGCGGTCACTCTTTGCCAAACACAAATTTTGAATATCAAACAATTTTGCTAATAAAATTCTCCGATATTTTACAAGAAAACAGCTTTTTATCTACACTACAACTTGGAAATAATTATTTTTTGGCTTTTTCTTTTGCAAAAAGTGAATTTACTGAACATAAAAGTAACAAAAACGATAAAATCCACAAAACAAACTATTTATAATAAAAATATATTTCACGAATTGAGTAGAGACTAAATAAAGACATCCAAAGACATCACAATAATAAAATGCACAAAAATCACTACACTACCACCCGAAAACATACTCCATGGCTTTCGTAACTATCCCGGTCGACTTCTGGGGCACAGTCTGGGGCGGAATCACAATGTTAGGATTCTGCGGAGATATAAAAGAATGCCGTAAGGACCTCGCACGGATCGGCGAAGTATAAACGACGCTCTCGTTCTCCTTATTCTCCTTACTGTAATAAAGCTGCACTCCTATCATGACACAGTTATTTATCAACTTACCGTTGAGGGAGAGCGCTCTCGACACCTCGCTCAAGTTATTGAATTTAACATGCACCCAATTTCCCTGCGGAGGTATTTTCTTGTCCGCTATAGGCCCACAGTTCGCCAATTGGGCTAACACCAACGTCAGAGCACTGGGAGGGAATCCGAACACCGTAATCCAATGCGAATCGACGCGATTGCCACTCATATTCCCTCGACCGAAGTGTTCGTTCATACTAGTTACATTGCGAGTGTAATTCAGACTATCCTCGTTGTTTATTCTGGAGATGCTCTCGTTGAATCCTACCGAGTCGTTGAAATGCGCCACCGTACTATTTAGAATAGGGCTGGAAGGTTTTTTTTTCTGTTCCATGGTGTCGAAGAGTCCCATTTTAGGTGGGCCTGGCTTTTCTGAGACTGTTGTAAATGGAGATAGGGGCCCAGGGCTTTCGTTAAGCGACTGGTTGAATAGTTTTTGCCTTAGACTTCGAGGTTCTGCGGAATTCAGGCCAGTTTTGTTGAAATTGCCGGGTGTTCGATTCCGTCCAGGTGACGAGCTAGGGTTTGGTGAAACCGGTGGGTTCTCGCCTCCTATTAAAAAGCCAGGTAAAAAGTTGGGGTTGATCCCAGGAGATGCAGGGCTGGAAGGAGGGCTTCCCAACGTCATGGGTTCCATCTAGAAAATTCAAATTTTCAAGTACCTACTTTAGGTGTAAGATTAGAAAGACAAAGCGACATAAAAAAAAAAACACAAATGTACCTACTTTTATCACAGTTAGAGCACCAACCCAAGTTACCGACTACAATTTATGTCATCAGAAACCAAACGACTTTTTTGACATCGGAAAGCAGGACAAACGAAACGACACATTTAACATTTAAATTGAAAAGTCGTGTTCTACTTTACCGTCAAAACAGTTTGATCAAAAGATCATAGCTGGATCTGATACGCACAATGTTAAAGTCACTGTACAATTCAAAGTAAATATTTCAAAAGAAAAACAGGTGCTATAAATAAAATTTAAAATGAGATTTAACGCCCTAATCATCCTTTGGTCAAAGCTTTGCTTTCTTTGATATAAAAGTGACTTATATTACATACAAATAGAATTAGTAAGAACCGATGGTGTCGAAGCATTTTGATTGGTGTTTTATTATTATTGTTCCTTTTGTGAACTATGTATATTGTACCTATTATTTCTTTATTTTTTACATTGTTGCATTTATTACTTTTTTTATTTTAAGCAAATATATTAATGTTTTACTGTGCTGTAATTGGGACTTGTTCCTCTTAGGTAGTAGGTACTTTAAATAGGTACATAAATAAATAAATCAAAGCCATTCTGCAGCCAACGAGTTTTAGCCGACTGTTAAACCATTCTGCTTTTGTGGTTTAGTAGGAGACATTAAACGTTAAACCGTAAATTTCAAATTGCACAAAGAATAAATAAATAACGTACATTTAGCAACTATCGTAAATTTACGACTATTATTTGAGATCTGCAACCAACAGAACGCGTGTCTATTTTGTGTGTTGCCTATTTACCATTTAATCTTGATATTTTCCCGTTCTGATAAGATTCTCTCAAAATGTTAACAAGAGGGTAAATAAAACGAACATTAATTAAACAAAAGTTTCCGCAACTCCCTCCTCCGATTTTTTTTTAAACGAAATCGATGTGCGCAGTACTCGCAGTAGGGGATGAGATCGGAGCCGGCATGAAACAAAAATAAAGCGGTCTGGCCTCTGGCAGTACCTGCAAAATGGCGATGCCGAGGGTGCTATGTCGCGTTCGTCTGTTGCTTAACAACGACTTTTCGGTGGTTTCGAAGTATCCCGCCGTCGTGAGTGGTGTTTCGATAAATAAAGTAAGTACCTGCCCACCTAATCTCACTTAGTTTTTAATTGTTCGCGGCGAAATTCCCCTTCTGCGCGATTATAACAGCGTTCATCCCCCGAGAGTTACACTCACCTGTTTTGCGGATGCGGTTAAACCCCCTTTCATTAACTACCGCGGTGTATGCCCCTTATTTTTTTTTAATTGATGAAAAAGCGCCGGTTCCACGGCTAGTTTTGATTGTGTGTGAGGTTATGTCCCGGGCGGTGTGATATATTATTAATTTATTCCAAATAGACGCCTAGATCAAGGTACCCGCATGTCACTATTCAAACAAGGATTTACCACTGTTGATATTTGCTTATGGATAATATTATATTAGTACATAATTAAAATAATCTCGGAACTTCTGAAGTAGAAAAGAAAAACCTTAAAGTTTCTTGAAATGTGCCTCAAGCCGTTGTGTACAAAGAAATTTTACTTATAAGAGTGGAACCGAGCCAATTTTAGGCTTCGTGTGTAATATTTATTTAGCTACCAGAATATTATTTTTAAGGTCAATAACATTGGTCATTGTTGAATAAGTCGTGGAACAAATGAAAGACGATTTTTAAATCCCAGCCAGCTTATCAAATTTGTTATTATAAATTGTTAACAATGCGTGTCTATCTTAGTTTATTTAAATACTCGTTATGTCAATATAGGAAAACTCAATTAATTTAAAATAAAAATAATGAATGGGACTATTTTGTAATTAAGCTGCAGTAAGCCTTATTTTTCATCCGGAAATTGTTGGTGAGTCGTTTTTCTTAGTGCACAGATTTCTGTGTAAAAGTCTTAACCGTAATTCGCTTGCAAATATTGCAAGTAATTTTAGGAAATAGTAAATTTTATTGTTGTCTTGTCATAACATCATAAATTTGTTAATTTTTATGGTTGAAATACAGCGTAGTTTTGATACCTATTAAAATATGTTTCCAAACATAAGACATGTTTATTAAAAACAATAAATATCAATGAAAACTTAATACCCATCTACCTATTTCTAATTAATTACATAATTTATAAATTGTTTTTCAAAACTTTATAGCAATTTCCTAGTAAAGTAAATCCCTATATCGTAATTCATTTTGAAGTAATTTCCGTGAGTCACGAACTCTGGTATAATAAAATTTTAAACATGTTTGTTGAAGATAAGACTTTTAAATTGTCTACAGGATGTGTTTAAGATATGGAAATTAATTCACAGTTCCTTTAAGTAGTTGAATTGTCCCTTTTGAGATTTTAATATTGATTTGGTTGTTAACATAGTGATTCCAAAACGATTTGATAAAATCAGTAGAATTTCATTTGAGTCGTGATGCTGTCCAAGCTATAGTAGGACTTATTTGTTGAAACCTAGGTCTTTAATTGAACAAAAACCGTCATTCCAGAATTTTTTCTTAGAAAAATAAAGAATAGTTATCCTTATTGATACAAACATTGTTTATATCGATTGTAGTTTCGTTTGTGAAAAATATCGTGTTTGAATAATTCTGCAATTAGTACCTAAATGATTTCGTTTGTTTATCTTAAAACTGGTTACCATCGGACTAAAATTAATACAACAAAACTTGTTTCTAGATGAAGAGGAATAATCCAGATATATGTATGTCTTGAGTAGTGTAAAATAGATGTGCAGATACGTGTTAATTTAAAGTTAATACAGTTAGTTTCTTTGAAAAACCAATGACATTTGGTATACTGTTTATCTTAGAACGCTAGGAAAAAATGCTAAGATGCTCTAAAAATAAGTATTATTCTCTGCCTACACAGCTTTTTCTTAGTTTGATGTGTAGAAACTGAATTCGCGGTCTGGCTAGTCGGAATAAAAGTTTAAATACAATTTGTCTCAGTAAAAATATGTTTTTTCGAAAACTGACATCAAAGGTCGACATTTTCGTTAAGTTTTCAGTTGAAGTCAGTTTTTTGTCACCTAAGTATCTGCAAAATACTTACATGTTCTAGCACGCCAGTCTTTTTCGTTCTAGAACATAAAACAAATGTCAAAATAATTTATCATTTTTTCCAAACTTATTATGATTTTATTAATTAAACAATATACATTTTAAGTAATATAACATTTCGGTTTTAACAAACGATACTCTTCAAATATCTACAAATTGTTCCGGAATACCCTGTATACACGTATTAGTAAAAGAAATTTCCTCAATTTTTGTATCCCACTTAGAAAATAGCTCACTAAGTTCCATTCTGATAATACTTAAGTTTGGGTTAAGCCTTAAGTGTTTCTTACTCGTCAGTCCTCGACTTTATCGCTGTGGACATTCATTTGTCACGTCTTTGGGACCTGGACACATTTATAACCCACCTGGAATCCAGAAAAGCAAATAGCTAACAGAATCACATAAATCCCTTAGGGATCATATGCCTCCGTCTCCATCGGAGCCCAACTGAGGGTCGGTTAGGCATGTAGACTTCTCGACACGTTAAATAGCCAAAGCTCTAAAGCGGTCCGCACACTACCGCGTCGGCTAAAGGATACCCATACAGCATATTATTTTATAACATTTTCAAAACGTTGTTAAGGCCACAGATTTTTTATCGAAAATCAGACTTTTTCGAAAATATAACGATTGTTTCCGTAAAGCAGTGGCTTACTATTTTATTTAGAAAAATATACCACCGATACCCTGTATCTCCGCCATTGGGGCATGTAAATTTTAGGAAAAACCCTCAGATTTTGGACAATGTTTATATAAATACATGTGCCCAATTTCAAACTATTTTACTTACTAGTTTTTAAATTATCTAAAAAAATTAAAAATATTTTTTGAAGCTTAACACCCTGTATATTTTTAACGAAGATAAAAACTTTATAGGAAAGACTCCCTCCCCTTAAAATTCACCAAAGAACACGAGGTTTCATTTTTGCTCACCATTCGTGAATCACCCTGTATAGGTATAATACTTAATTATAAGTACTAGCAAAATTTGACAGAATAATAATTTTTACTCTTAAAAAAACTATTGTAGAACATAATTAACAGTAGTCTTAAGTGTTCTGCAGTTTTATCGTCTCCGGCGATCGGTGAATACCCATTTCAAAAACGTAAATGGCTTTTACGGAGGTCACAGATGTATATCTAAAATAGTCGAAGTTTTTAATAGATGCTATTTTTACTAATGGTGACGAAGCATCAGCTATTTCACATTTTTATAATCCAACTATCCGCGTCATTGTACATTTACATATGAAGCTTCGCATCGATCAATTTATTCGATACATATCTAGCGGCACCCTAATGTCTGCTCTGGCGTCCGTTTAATTGTCGTTTGTGCGTGTGTTAGTGAGTTTGACGCTTTGCTTGGTCGAGTGTATAGCACGTGCTTTTATGGCAGTCAGTAGCATTGTGTTTCGTGAGTATAGAGCGGCACACGGGCTTATCCATATGTTCAACCTACTACTAGCATGATAAGAAAAATGTTGCTGTAATATTTTCATATTACATTTAAAATATTGCGTGCTGTTTATAAAAGTACATTTTCGCAGTCTACAAGTTGACGTTTATTAATAAAACTTAAAAAAATATATTGATGTCTATTTTATATGGGTATTTGTTCCAGAGTGTGTATATTCAAACCGCAAGGCACTTTAGGACTAAATTCTCCACCGGTGCAGTGTTAAATGTGAGCCAAAAGCAAAAGGATCACACCAGTTCTTCCTCTTCTTCATCGGATAGTGATTTAACGGATAACGAATCGGATTTGGAAGACGGTGAGTGGGAATAATTTTATAATCGTAGGTATAGTTGTTAATATGTAAATCAAACAGACCGATTATATTTTAAACAAGGAATCAAGCTGTATTTTTCAAACGATTTTAGTCGCACTGAATGTGAATGCGATCCTAGAATTGTTTCATCACGTCAGGTTTTCGAGATATCCTAACCTAAAAGTGCAAAATGCGCGGTTTTTCGCTATATTTGAGGTTATGTTACATCACGAGCTGATTT